TAAAAAATGTAAAAGTAAAATGTGAAATCTGTATACAAGTTAAAAACATTTTAAAATAAATCCAATAAAATAATAAAAACTATAGGCACAGAGGGGTTCAGTGGGTATGCCTCCGCTATGGAGGAGCATCCCACATAAAGCATTCCCCTCTGATAAAAAAAAAAATTAGGCGTCGTCGTCATCGTCGTCGTCGGTCGTCGTCGTCGTCGGTTGTCGTCGTCGGTCGTCGTCGGTCGTCGTCGTCGGTCGTCGTCGTCGTCGTCGACGTCGGTCGTCGTCGTCGTCGTAGTCGTCGACGTCGGTCGTCGTCGGATAGCGCCTCCACGAGCAGCCGCATGCCGGTTTGCTGCGCCTCAAACAATGCGCGCCATCAGTCTTCTGGTGGTGTCCGTAGATCTTCATTTTGTGCCGGCACCAAACCCACTTCTAATGTCGGAGAAACACTTTTCTCGACGACATCTATAGTGGTTGGGAACTTGATGACCCAACTCGATCAGTCTCCACTTCACGACTATATTCGTAACAACTGTCAAAACGCCTTATATAAAGATGGTGCCTCGACCCCTCTTAAGCCAGGTGCTCTGCTCTGATTGGTCGTTACTTAAATTACGATAAAAATGTTATTTAGTCTAGGAAAAACGTAACTTATAAAGTAAGATCAAATTAAAAGTTATTAGAAGCTTTTACAATATCAATAAACATTAAAAATTGCACACTATGCGTTAAACAGTAATTCAGTTGACAATGGCTACTTAATAACTTCCTACTTTAAATATATTGTTAGCTGAGGGTGGAACTTAAAAATAATGGTGGTGTGATGCCAATATAAGTGACCGCACCCTCATTTTCGGGACACACTCGCCACCGAACACTGAAGCCAGCGGAAGCTCTGCCCGTTTGACTAGCCAAAATAATTAATCATTTTAACTCTGATAGTTGATCAAGTTAATGTTATATTTCGAAATCATTTAAGTGTTAATTTAATTCAATCGATTTTGTTAGTTTTCTTATTAATTCAAAAAGTACTGTAGTAGTGTATAAGAGATTGTTTTTATAATTTTCCCTGCTTCTGATCCTTAAGATCAGAAGTGGGATAGTGAAACTCCCACGTCCTTGTTTGTACATCCTGATACGATGTGTTTCCATTGTTATTTCTTTAATTGGCTAGTCATACGATCAGAAATATATTTTTGGAAATGGTAACTATTGTTTAAAAGGACAAATTAGCACTTTGTTTTCGGTGATTCGTGTATTATACGTAAGTAAGACGTGATGTGACGGTGTGATCAAGTATTATGATGTCAACTTTGGTGAGTACGTTCCAATTGTTTTCTTCTCCGCTTTAAAATAACAAATAGAAGTTGTATTTGTTAGCTTTTTGTGTAAATTTTAGAATGGCTCAATTTTAATATTTTGTCGTGTCTACCCTATTGATCAATTATTTACCGTAACTTGAATGTCCTGCTTGGAATTACGTCTAATTTTAAATTCTTGCTAAAAA